CAATGTTTAACAAGATGTCAAGCGCAATGATGTTGGTGGTTGGTGGTCGTGGCTGGCGGTGGTTGAAATTTGCGGTGGTTCGAGCGGTAGTGACCGGCGACGGTTGGTACGACGCTTGGTGGTTTGCAGTGGTGGTTTGATATCGGAATCACTTATGGTGGTTGTCACAATGAAGGTGCGTCATGGTTATTGATGGTTGGTCATCTATATATTTTTATAATAATATTATGTATTTTACCTTTTTTTACATATTTTTTATTAAATTTTATGCATTTTTTTCTATTTTTAAATAGTTTTTATCGAACTTGTTTTATAAAATATTTATTATTTTATGTGTTATATTATTACTAGATGTATTGGAAATTTTCTCCATTGTTTTTTCTATATTTATAATAATTTTCTTATTTTTTGTATTTTATTATGTATTATTTCGTTTTATAATAAATATTTATTAAAAAAAATATTATTTTTTGTAAAAAATATCATTTACAATGTTTAAAAGTCATTTGTGAATATATTAGCTAAGTTGTACTTTGGTTTGTGCATTTTGGTGTTGTACATGTCTATTATGATTCTCTTGCCAAAACATGTCTACTCCTGGCACTTGGGTTTTTTTTAAATACATATATAAGGGGGGTAGAGGTGTTGAAAGGCACCTCAAGGTGCCTGCTGCCTGGCCGAGGCGGGGATGCACGGGGGACGCTGGCATGCGGCGTGGGCATTGGGGGCATGCACGGCTTGTCCGTGCTACGTCCCAGATGTTCGCAACGCGTGTCAGCAAGTACTCGTGTGTGCTCGTAGTACGTCTGGTGGTGGGCATCGCTTGTGGCGGCCGATGGCTTTTGGCAACGGAACGGCGGAGCGTCGTGCAAGTAGCGCCGCAAGGTGCCATACGCATGGGGCTAAGCTTAGTATGTTCCGAATGCCATCAGTTGTTGCGGGCAAAATCGGGAGGCGACATCGCTCGTGGCAGCTGATGGCTTTTGGCAACTGAACGGCGAGGTCTCGTGCAAGTAGCGCCGCAAGGTGCCGTGCGCATGGGGCTAAACTCAGTACGTTCCGATTGCCATCGGTTGTTGTGAGTTGTGTTTGGCATCGCTCGTGGCGGTTGATGGCTTTTGGCAACTGAACGGAGAGGCCTCGTGCAAGTAGCGCCGCAAGGTGCCGTGCGCATGGGGCTAAGCCCAGTATGTTCCGATTGCCATCGATTTCGGTTGTTGTGAGTTGTGTCTGGCATCGCTCGTGGCGGCTGATGGCTTTTGGCATCGGAACGGCGAGACCTCGTGAAAGTAGCGCCGCAAGGTGTCGTGCGCATGGGGCTAAGCTCAGTACGTTCCGATTGCCATCGATTGTTGCAGGAAACATCGGGAGGCGACATCGCTCGTGGCAGCTGATGGCTTTTGGCAACTGAACGGCGAGGTCTCGTGCAAGTAGCGCCGCAAGGTGCCGTGCGCATGGGGCTAAACTCAGTACGTTCCGATTGCCATCGGTTGTTGTGAGTTGTGTTTGGCATCGCTCGTGGCGGTTGATGGCTTTTGGCAACTGAACGGAGAGGCCTCGTGCAAGTAGCGCCGCAAGGTGCCGTGCGCATGGGGCTAAACTCAGTACGTTCCGATTGCCATCGGTTGTTGTGAGTTGTGTCCGACATCGCTCCTGGCGGCTGATGGCTTTTGGCAACGGAACGGCGAGGCCTCGTGCAAGTAGCACCACAAGGTGTCGTGCGCATGGGGCTAAACTCAGTACGTTCCGATTGCCATCGATTGTTGTGGGCAACATCGGGAGGCGACATCACTCGTGGCGGCTGATGGCTTTTGGCAACGGAATGGCGAGGCCTCGTGCAAGTAGCGCTGCAAGATGCCGTGCGCATGGGGCTAAACTCAGTACATTCTGATTGCCATCAGTTATTGTGGGAAACCTAGGGAGGCGACATCTCTCGTGGAGGCTGATGGCTTTTGGCAACGGAATGGTTAAGCCTTGTGCAAGTAGCGCCGCAAGGTGCCGTGAGCATGTGGCTAAACTCAGTACGTTCCGATTGCCATCGGTTGTTGTGATTTGTGTCTGGCAACGCTCGTGGCGGCTGATGGCTTTTGGCAACGGAACGATGAGGCCTCATGCAAGTAGCGCCGCAAGGCGCCGTGCGCATGGGGATAAGCTCAGTACATTCCGATTGCCATCGATTGTTGTGGGCAATATCAGGAGGCGACATCGCTCGTGGCGGCTGATGGCTTATGGAAACGGAATGGCGAGGCCTCGTGCAAGTAGCGATGCAAGGTGTCGTGCGCATGGGGCTAAACTCAGTACGTTCCGATTGCCATCAGTTGTTGTGGGCAACCTCGGGAGGCGACATCGCTCGTGGAGGCTAATGGCTTTTGGCAACGGAACGGTGAAGCCTCGTGCAAGTAGCGTCGTAAGGTGCCATGAGCATGTGGCTAAACTCAGTACGTTCCGATTGCCATCGGTTGTTGTGATTTGTGTCTGGCATCGCTCGTGGCAGCTGATGGCTTTTGGCAATGGAACGACGAGCCCTCATGCAAGTAGCGCCGCAAGGCGCCGTGCGCATGGGGCTAAGCGCAGTAAATTCCGATTGCCATCGATTGTTGCGGGCAACATCGGGAGGCGACATCACTCGTGGCGGCTGATGGCTTTTGGCAACGGAATGGCGAGGCCTCGTGCAAGTAGTGCTGCAAGGTGCCGTGCGCATGGGGCTAAACTCAGTACGTTCTGATTGCCATCAGTTGTTGTGGGCAACCTCGGGAGGCGACATCGCTCGTGGAGGCTGATGGCTTTGGGCAACGGAACGCTGAAGCCTCGTGCAAGTAGCGCCGCAAGGTGCCGTGAGCATGTGACTAAACTCAGTACGTTCTGATTGCCATCGGTTGTTGTGAGTTGTGTCTGGCATCGCTCGTGGCGGCTGATGGCTTTTGGCAACGGAACAACGAGGCCTCATGCAAGTAGCGCCGCAAGGCGCCGTGCGCATGGGGCTAAGCTCAGTACATTCCGATTGCCATCAATTATTGTGGGCAATATCAGGAGGCGACATCGCTCGTGGTGGCTGATGGCTTTTGGAAACGGAACGGCGAGGCCTCGTGCAAGTAGCGATGCAAGGTGTCGTGCGCATGGGGCTAAACTCAGTACGTTCCGATTGCCATCGGTTGTTGCAGGCAACATCAACAGGCGACATCGCTCGTGGCGACTGATGGCTTTTGGTAATGGAACGGTGAGGCCTCGTGCAAGTAGCTTCGCAAGGTGTCGTGCGCATGGGGCTAAGCTAAGTACATGCCGGTTGCCATCGGTTGTTGTGAGTTGTGTCTGGCATCACTTGTGGCAGTTGATAGCTTTCGGTAACGGAACGGCGATGCCTCGTGCAAGTAGCGCCGCAAGGTGCCGTGCGCATAGGGATAAGCTCAGTACGTTTTGATTGCCATCGGTTGTTGTGGGCAACATCGAGAGGCGACATCGCTCGTGGAGGCTGATGGCTTTTGGCAACGGAACGGTGAAGCCTCATGAAAGTAGCGTCGCAAGGTGCCGTGAGCATGGGGCTAAACTCAGTACGTTCCGATTTCCATCGGTTGTTGTGAGTTGTGTCTAACATCGCTCGTGGCGGCTGATGGCTTTTGGCAACGGAACAACGAGGCATCATGCAAGTAGCGCCGCAAGGTGCCGCACGCATGGGGATAAACTCAGTATGTTCCGATTGCCATCGGTTGTTGCGGGCAACATCGGGAGGTGACATCACTCGTGGCGGCAGATGGCTTTTGGCAATGGAATGGCGAGGCCTCGTTCAAGTAGCGCTACAAGGTGCCGTGCGCATGGGGCTAAACTCAGTACGTTCCAATTGCCATCAGTTGTTGTGGGCAACCTCGGGAGGCGACATCGCTCGTGGAGGCTGATGGCTTTTGGCATCGGAACGGTGAAGCCTCGTGCAAGTAGCGCCGCAAGGTGCCGTGAGCATGGGGCTAAACTCAGTACGTTCCGATTTCCATCGGTTGTTGTGAGTTGTGTCTGGCATCGCTCATGGCGGCTGATGGCTTTTGGCAACGGAACGACGAGGCCTCATACAAGTAGCGTCGCAAGGTGCCGTGCGCATGGGGCTAAACTCAGTACATTCCGATTGCCATCGATTGTTGCGGGCAACATCGGGAGGCGACATCACTCGTGGCGGCTGACGGCTTTTGGCAACGGAATGGCGAGGCCTCGTGCAAGTAGCACTGCAAGGTGTCGTGCGCATGG